TCCACAAGCCCAGTCTGTTCGGTTCCAAACTACCGAACGGCCTCTCGTTCGGTAGATAAAAACAACCGAACGAGGGGATTCAGGCGAACCCTCCCCAGTCTCTGTAACTAGAGGCTTTCATGTGATTTATTCCCTTGTTCCAGGACCGACTGCAGGGCCCCATCGCATGGAGCCCAATTTGGCTATTCCTTCCAGCGAGGTCGGTCATTTTATTCCCTCTATGAATTTCCCGAACCCCTGGTCTGATCTGGGTGATTTTTGGATATGTTGTTCACCCAGATAAGGGCTACCAGGGGATGTATAATTTAAAGTGGTACCCCTAGGTTTAGGGGTACATCCAGAAACGGGGGGAATTGGTGTCCTGGATAAGGGGATTATGATGCAGGCTGAGGGGAGGGGATGTGTGGGAGGTTACCGGAACAGGATTGGCTACTGTATTAATGAATGGAAATCCCTCCCTTGCATGGGAGCATGCTTTATAAGGCCACTGTCTGAATAAATCTTTAGTTCTGCTCCTGATACTGTGTGTCGTCCAGTTATTGGGAGTGCTGTTGGGATACTACTGCATTGTTTTACCTGCTGGATACCTTGCCTATGGATTTATAATTACTTGTTCCTGAGCCTCAGTGGGATCTACAGGTGGAGGTAGGCTATGAAATACTAGCTCTCCGCTACAGGGAGCATAACATGTCATGTGTGTAATGTCTGTATGGGTTAGTAGTTGTGTCTGTATGGGTCAGTGTGTGTCTGCATGGGTCAGTGTGTGTGTCTGTATGGGTCAGTGTCTCTCTATGGGTCATTGTGTGTGTGTCTGTATGGGTCAGTATGTGTCTGAATGAGTCAGTATGTGTCTGTATGAATCAGTGTGTGTGTCTGTATGGGTCAGTGTGTCTGAATGAGTCAGTATGTGTCTGTATAAGTCACTATGTGTGTCTGTATGGGTCAGTATGTGTCTATGTCATGTGTGTAATGTCTGTATGGGTCAGTATGTGTCTATGTCATGTGTGTAATGTCTGTATGGGTCAGTATGTGTCTATGTCATGTGTGTAATGTCTGTATGGGTCAGTATGTGTGTCTGTATGGGTCAGTATGTGTGTCTGTGTGGGTCAGTGTGTGTCTGTATGGGTCAGTGTGTCTGTATGGGTCATTATTTGTGTCTGTATGGGTCAGTATGTGTCTGCAGGAGTCAGTATGGAGTACTAGGTGTTTGAGCGCAGGACTTAATATTGTATGTTTGTATTTGCTTTTTTTAAATCTTTTTTTTACCAATAATAGTTTTATTGATTTATTTGCATATACATAGTTAAAGTGAGTATAAAAATGCACAAACAAAAGGAACGTGACAACATGCACATGTTACAACTATTATTGCATAGTGAAAAGAATACAAAAATACACAGAACAGCACATAAGGTTTACATGTTTCTGATGTGTGCACACAAAAAAAAAATATGGTTGTCGTATATAATAGTTTTTTTGAGGAAGTTGGTGTTAATGGATAATTTTATAGCTCCTATAGTGTTCAAAGTGCCATATAATGTTGCCGCCAGCCATTTTACTGGGCGCTCGGAAGCACTTACATTGTTGCTGACTAGGGGTGGGGGGGTGGGGGAGAGAACAAGTGAAAGCAGCGAAACAGAACAAGTGAAAGCAGCGAAACAGAAAATAAAAACTAAGAAAAGAAAGTAAGAGAAGAAACAAAGTCCCCTGGAAATACCTATAAAGTGTCTGGTTAGGATTCTCACCCCACCCACACCCATCCCCTATGTAGGCAGGTTCCTGTCCCATCTAGCCCCCATTGCATTACCATCCCTATATTATCTGGTTCTCCACAAAATTCGTCCCTTAGTCCCCATATTATATCATCGCAGAGTGTGCCGTATTCTCCCATTTGTTATTCTGAACTAGAATGTTAAGAACATTTGAGAAGGAGGGAACCTCCACAGTTCTCCATTGCTTGATTAGGGCCTGAGTGTCCACAGTTCTCCATTGCCTGATATATGGCAACTGAGTGATCTCATTGCCCTTGCCAAGGTATCCGCGAACACATGTAACAAAGCTATGCCAAGGCATATGGGTATCTGGTTGTGAAGTACCTTCAAGAATAGGGTAAAAACCACAGTGTTGGATTTTTAGGCAGTTCCACCAGATGTGGCCATGTGTGCCTCTAAGTTCACAGCCACACCAGCACAACACTGCGAACAAGTACTAAAAGCCATCGCAAGCAAAATGACTTTTTTCTAGAAGTTCTAGATGAGAGACATTATGAGTAAATCCCCTGACATTCCTATAGGAAAGAGCCCAGTCTTCGTTAGAAATAGAAATATGTAATTCTATTTCCCATCTGGTGTATTTGCTTTTGTATTACACAGCCCCATTACAGTGCTGCTGCCCACCCAATGTGTTCCGTATTAAGGGTTACTTAGTGTGTAGGAGTTTAGAAAAATATTCCTCTCTGTCTCATTAGAGATTTTAACTTTAAGCTTAAAGAAACACGGTGACTTGTTGACCACAGAGGTACTACTCTGACGTACAACTGGGGTGAACCCCCTTATTGTCATAAACGTCAACTGGCAACTCTGAAGAGGGTACCACCTCCCACCGGGAATATCAGGGGTATTCCCCACCGGGAATATGAGGTGTACGCGCCACGCTTTTGGATTCCCAGAATCCTTTATGGAGGCAATAATGAGTCTACTTTGGAACCTTAGAACATATATTTTATTAGAACGTTGTGTCTCAGCAACCTTCAAAATAACTAAAGTCCCACGTCATGGTTGTCCATTATCACAGTTACTTTGTGTATTATGCTTGGAACCCCGGCATGTCCTATACAGAGTAGTGAGGGGAATTGATGTGATCCACCTGGGCCAGCAAAAAGCTAGCAATGTTGCAGACAACATACTATTGATTCTACACGAGCCCCTAAAATGCCTCCCGGCTTAATTTGAGATAAACACTGAATATGCAAATGGCTCAAACCATAAGATTAAATTCACTAAATTGCAAATATTTTGCAATTGTCCCTGTGCACCTTGTTTGCCTTAGATTGGAAAACCGAAGCTATACATTACTTGGGAATAAAGTTATAGGCAATTATTTCACTAAACGTATCCCTGGTTTGGAAGGCCTTCAAAAAATGCTTGTTAAATGGAAAAACTATGAGATATTTTTGGTAGGTCACTGTGTGGGCATTAAGATGATGCTTCTACTGAAATTATTGTGTAAACATCGAACCATTCCACTCATCTGGTTCATAAGGCCCCTGGGCTTTTACACTTGGGTGGATGTGAAGAAATCTTTGTTACAACCTGCTGTTTGTTAACCATTATTGATCTCTGTGATATTCTGTGATACTTTAACATGTAACAATACTTTCGCTTTCTGTACTCATACCAATATGTACTTTCACGTTCTACCGAAAACCAATAAACACAGGGTTTCAGAAAATAAATATTTTTCAGGTCACTGTGTCCTTTTAATATTTCTACAATACATTTTATAACGGAGTTGCCTGTTCAACATTTCATACAAATCCTTTGTACACCTGTGTTGATTTGTGAATGCTGGGGGAGCTGTTTGTGGGGTGTTGTATGTGGGGTAAGCTGTTTGTGTGGTTGCAAGTGTGGGGGAGATTCTGCTTGTGTGGTTGCGGGATTGTTTGTGTGGACAGGGCTGTTTGCCGTGTACTATGTAAATAGGGACTGTTTGTGCATAGGGCCTGTAGTGTGTGTGTTAAGGGGAATAGTGGCTGTAGTGTGTGGTGGGGAGTGAGCCCTATATTGTGGCTCCATGGAAATTCCCCCTGCAAAGGTTTAATAGAAATTGGGTTACAGTGATGTAAGTAAAAGCAAATGAAGATACGTGCAGCCAAATCAGAGAAACAAAAACATAACCAAACGAAAGCGTAGTACAGTGCAGGTTCCATGTAACTGTTGAGCAGTGCCTGGAAAGGCTTTGGAAGCAGACCCCCTTAAAACCAAGAACTTTGGCCCTCTGACTGTAAGGATATGAAATAGTTAACTCTTTTTGTTTTATATGCTTTAAAATAATGTTTGAAATAATTATGCTGACCTTGGCAGATGTATTCTGTAAGATGCTTTGAGAGGCCTCCCTTCTACAGGATGTATGACCTCGCTCGACCCCAGGATGTTCCTGTCCCGTATTTATTCAAATGCTTATCTTTTAATGTCAGACAAGTATGTACTATTAACTACAAGGAAACGATAAATCTCGCTGCTTGCGTGACAGACTGTGTATAAATGCTAGCCCTGAAAATATACTCCCTGAGAATTTGTTAAGCACTCTTTCGTGTTTGTGTCTTAATTTGCTAAACAAGAACTCCCGTCAATTGATGTGGTGACCGGAGAATTGAGAATCGAGGGGAGTTGAGTCCAGAACAGCATTAACCCTTTCAGCTTGGTGTCCAGAAGTGGGATTACAGCAGGACCATTGGGTAAGTAGCCTTTTTGTGTCTTATTGACGCTGATTGTCTGACACCCTTTGGTTCAGTAAGTCTGTAACCAGTAGATAGGAAAGGTGTAAGGACTTTAGTTATATTGAGACTGTAAATAGGTCTCCGGTTTTTACTGGACAGTTGGTCTAGTATAGGGTTCTTGGTAACCCAGGTTAGTATCTAAGATAGATATAGGGTATCTCAGGTAGATACAGGTTTTGAGTCTATAAAGGAGTCTCTGGTTTATTAAGACTATAGGTGTTCTAGGAAACACGGTTTATAGATCTAGAATAATCCAAACTTCTCGTTCCTCTGGTCACCCTGTGTCTGCTTTGTGTTTATTTTGCTTGTTAAGTAGAGACACACTATTGGTAAGTAGGTAGTGTCTCTACCCTGAGCCAGAAATATGGGAAATAATCAGTCTATTTCTTACCCTTTACCCCACCCAGGGGAGTCATGTCCAAATTATGTTACTAGAATAGGAGCACATGGAGAATTTCTTACAATCCCCTTTGTGTCAAATTTAGCAGGATTGACAGAGACTATGAAGTCATCTGATCCTTTTCCAAGGTGTGGGGCTAATGATGATTTCCATATGAATATGATTCAAGGATTGTGTTTGGGAGATAGGAAGTCATGGCCGTGGTATGGTCCTGATCCAGATTGGGATAAGGAATATATGAAAGCAGGAGGTGAAAATTGGTTGCAGATAGCCCCTCATTGGTTTCCTTGTAGTGTAACAGGAAAGGTTTTAAAGGGAGCTGGCTAAGAGAAAGGGAAATGTTGACAGTGATACCATCCGCTTTCCCATAGAAGCCCCTCCTGAAAATCTATATCCACCACCAATTGTGCCCCCTACACAGTCAGCCCCCAGCCATGCCCAACCACAACCCCCACCTCCCTATAAACCAATGTATCCTGCTGTACCTAATGCCCCCTCAGAGGATGATATAGAAGATATTTGTATTGCTGCAGCTGTTAATTCACAATCACAGCAATTACAGGAATCATCATCTACACCAGATTCTGATATAGAATATCCACCGCCACCTCCCGGTACAATTAAATTAACAGTACAAACAGGAGTTAAACTTAAAAGTGTCAAGGTGTTAAAATCATATGTACATATGCAAGGTGATGATTATGTAGAAATGCTAGAATTAGAAGGTGCTGATCTTACTACCCCGTTCATGACTGTTGGTAATCAGTTAATAATGAAGCCCATTAATCCCAGAGTACTCAATGACATTATTCAAGGTGCCCCAAACCCCCGTACTAATCCTTCTGCATGCCTAAAGCATGCTCTGTAAAGAATGTGCTTAGGACAGAACATGACACAGATAGACATACAGTTAATTATAAATGGAATATTAGGGTATGACTGAGATTCTGGTTGGGATTGGTCTAGGGTACCCTCTATCAGTGAGACAGACAACGGTACTGGAGTTGGAGAGGCTGGTAGTGATGGTGTTTACGAGCTTAGTACTTCAGCAGGATGTACTATAATATGGGACGAGGTGGAAGTTGAAATGTTGAGATTATGGAAGAATAAGCAGTCTATATCCACTGCTTTGGCATGTAAGCAAGGTGCAAAGGAAGAGATTGGTATTTTTGTAAAGAGATTTTACAAGTGTTGGAAGGATGAGGCAGGTTTGAAGTCTGGAGATGATATGGATCTCCTTAAAATACAGTCATGCCTTGGTAATATGTTGCCACAGTATTCTTTGCTTGTGAAACAATTGATTTCAGACTGGGCCAATTTGGTGGCTCAGATTTTCTTACCAAGGTTATAGAGAAAGAAAATGCCGGTTGTTTTGACTTAAGAAAAGATTCAGGAAGTAAGGTTGCTTATTATGCTCAGGGATTGCAACACTGTCCACCTACACAGGCCCGAGAGAGAGGATGGCATGGAGCACATAGAGCCCGTGGAAGGAGTGGTCAAAGAGGGGCAAGGGGATGGAGACAGGGAAATCAGGGTTATAGGGGCAGGGGTAACCAAGGAGGAATAGACAGGAACACTTGTTTCAACTGTGGCCAGCAATGAGTGTCCACACCCCAGGAAACCCCAGCAGCCCCAACAACCCCACAATTCTCAAAATACGCCCGGTAGGCAAGAACAACACCAGGCCCACTCCCAACACCACTGGCCAGCACTTCCCCCTCCCCCCTCGCTCCAGCAAACCCAAACTGCACTAGGGCCATTCACAGGTACCACTGACCAGCACACCCATCACATCCCATGGCCCCAATAGGGCTGCCTTGAAGGTGACACTCCAACTTTTCCACTTTTGTCCTCTACTCATGATGATCAGCCTTTTTGCATTCTGGTCATAGAAGGTAGATCCTTGACATTTTTGGTAGATACTGGATCTACGTGTTCCAGTCTCTGTGACACCTATTATCAGAGGAAAAGGGAAAAGTCTACACCTTCATTGAGTATTAATGGAGTGTCAACACCCACTTTTGTCACACCCCCACTGTCTGTTTTCTGTCCTCTTAATGGTTCTTCTACTGTGCACCCTTTTCGTCTAATACTTAAATGTCCTGTTAGTTTGCTGGGAAGGGATCTTCTTGGTATTCTGGGAGCTACCATTACTTGCACGCCCTCTGGTGGTATTGATGTGTCTATGTTGTGTTCTGAAACTATTGATTTGTCTGATGTTCCTTCCTCTGTGTGGGCTTCATCTAAGTTAGATGTAGGATTTGTCAACTGTACCCCTTACAAAGCCAAACTAAAACCAGATGTAACTATCTCCCTTAACACACCCACTACAGTGACTATTTGCAAAGACCGCCCACAGATACTAAATCGCAAACAGCCCTATCCACACACAACCTGCAACCACACAAGCAAAATCCCCCCACAGTCACAAATAAACACAAGTGCACAAATGAAAAGTATTTGTGTGACACGTTGAGCATCCAATTCAGTTATGTTTTGTACGAATATTAAAAGGACAATTGTAACCTTAAATTTTTTTTTTTTCTGAACCATTTGTTTACTGGTTTTCAGTAGAAAGTGAAAGTACATATTGATATGTGTGCAGAAAGTGAAAGGATTGTAACATGTTAAGGTATCACAGTCCACATTACAGAGATCAATAACCGTTAACAAACAGAAGGTTCTAACAAATATTCCTCCATATCCACCCAAGGGTAAGAGCCCAAGGGCCTTATGGAAAAGAGGAGCAGAGTGGTTTGACATAAAAACAGTATATTCAGTAGAAACATTGTCTTAATGTCCACGCAGCGACCTACCAAAAATATCTCATAGTTTGTTTTTCCATTTTACAAGAATTTGTAGATGGCATTCCAAACCTGGGATAAGTTAAGTGCAGGAATTGATGTCAGATTTGCATTTAAATCTATTCCCAATTAAAGGACCACTATAGTGCCAGGAAAACATACTCGTCTGGCTCTGGGGAGAGGAAAGGGGTTAAAAACTTACCCTTTTCCAGCGCTGGGCGGGGAGCTCTCTGCCTCCGATCCTCCTCATCTCCTCCCATTCAGCTGAATGCGCACGCGCGGCAAGAGCTGCGCGCGCATTCAGTCGGTCACATAGGAAAGCATTTCCTACGGACGCTTGCGTGCTCTCACTGTGATTTTCACAGTGAGAATCACGCAAGTGCCTCTAGCGGCTGTCAATGAGACAGCCGCTAGAGGAATTGGAGGAAGAATTAACCCATTTGTAAACATATAAGTTTCTCTGAAACTGCTATGTTTATAAAAAAAATGGGTTAATCCTAGCTGGACCTAGCACCCAGATCACTTCATTAAGCTGAAGTGGTCTGGGTGCCTAGAGTGGTCCTTTAATGTATAGCTTCGGTTTTCCAATATAACACAAACGAGCTGCACAGGGACAGATGTACAAGGTTTGAGATTTAGTGCAATTAATCACACGGTAGGAGATATTTGCATATTCAATGAGTATCTCAAATAAGGATGGAAGGGGTCTTAGGGGCTCCTGTAGAATCAACAGATTGTGGTCAGCAAACATTGCTATCTATTGCCTGTTAAATGAAAAATAAACCATGAAATATCTTCGGTAGGTCGCTGTGCGGACATTAGGACGATTCTTCTACCGAAATTACCTTTCCACTCCTCTTGTCCATTAGGCCCACGAGGTCTTACGCTTGGGTGGATATGGAGAAATCTTTGTTACAACCTGTTGTTTGTTAACAGTTATTCATCTCTGTGCTGTGGACTGTGATACCTTAATATGTTACAATCCTTTTGGTTTTTTAACACATATCAATATGTGCTTTCACTTTCTACTGAAAACCAGTAAATATATGGTATAGAAAATAATATTTTTCTAAGGTCACAGTTGTCTTTTTTATATTACTACAAAACATTTTATAACTGAGTTGTTTGCTCAGTGTGTCCCACAAATCCTTTAATTTGTATACCTGTGTTGGTACACGTTTGTTACTTCATTTTTTAATGACCTCTTGTGTAGTCATTTCATATCAACTGGTATGTGAGGTATGCAAAGCATAGTCATTATAACCTAACTGCAACTTGTACCTTTGTACATAGATAACATAACTGAAAGTTATTTGCAGCATGCTGCTATAACATACTCACATGTGAATTGTCAAGAATTGAAAGTGAATTTCAACTATTAGGCCGCATTAGTCGATCTAAAAACTTTTAACAATTAAGCTATTTTGACTTAAAATTTTAAACTTAGAAACATAGAATGTGACGGCAGATAAGAACCATTCGGCCCATGTAGTCTGCCCAATTTTCTAAATACTTTCATTAGTCCCTGGCCTTATCTTATAGTTAGGATAGCCTTATTCCTATCCCATGCATGCTTAAACTCCTTTACTGTGTTAACCACTTCAGCTGGAAGGCTATTCCATGCATCCACTACCCTCTCAGTAAAGTAATACTTCCTGATATTATTTTTAAACCTTTGCCCCTCTAATTTAAAGGATCACTATAGGGTCAGGAGCACAAACATGTATTCCTGACCCTATAGTGTTAACACCACCATCTAGCCCCCCTGGGCCCCTCATGCCTTCATAAATATAGTAAAAAATCTTACTGTATTCCGGAATGAAGCTGTAACTCTGCATGCTGTTAGACTCAGAAAAACAAACTGTCGGCTGACATCATCAGAAGTGGTAGCCTGATCCAATCACAATGCTTCCCCATAGGATTGGCTGAGACTGACAAGGAGGCAGATCGGGGGCAGAGCCAGCACAATTCAAACACAGCCCTGGCCAATCAGCATCTCCTCATAGAGATGAATTTAATTAATTAATCTCTATTAGGAAAGTTCAGTGTCTGCATGCAGAGGGAGGAGACAATGAATGTTTGGATGCATTTTAGGCAGCCATGACCCAGGGAGACCCTCTAATAGCCATCTGAGGAGTGGCCAGTGAAGGTATCACTAGGCTGTAATGTAAACACTGCATTTTCTTTGAAAAGATAGTGTTTACAGCAAAAAGCCTGAAGGTAATGATTCTACTCACCAGAACAAATTCAATAAGCTGTAGTTGTTCTGGTGACTATAGTGTCCCTTTAAGACTATGTCCTCTTGTTGTGGTAGTTTTTTTCCCCTTTTAAATATGGTCTCCTTCTTTACTGTGTTGATTCCCTTTATGTAGCCCCATGTAGCCAAAGCGCAGCTAAGCGAAAAAAGGCCTTGACAGGGGTTAGGAGGCGGGCATAGGAGGAGGGAAGGAAGTATGGAGTTATGGGTAAGTAGGCTTGGCTATTTAAATAGGCAGCCATTTTAAAGCCTTCACTTTTAATTACTACCTTGCTGAGTTTGTGTGCACTCCTGTGTCCACAGATTTGGTTTGGTGGGGTCTTTGTTTTTCTCTCCTTCTGCAGGGTCGAAGGATAACATGGAGGAGCTGTTGGAGCGGATCCGGTTGGCGGCTCAAGGACGTGGCGTGGACTGGCTGCGGGCGCAACTTGGACCAGCCCTGGCGGGTGCTGCGGATCATGAGGGCGGCGGAGGTCGGCCTGTGCGGGCTCGGAGGCCGCCGAGACGGCTGAGCCCAGGCGCGGAGTCCGGTGGAGACGGTTCCAGCGGCCGGGCGGCGGCGGGACCAGGCCGAAACGGACCCGGTAGCCACATGGTTGAGACTCCGCCTCCCGGCGCGTTACCGGGACGTCGGAGAAGCGGTAGCCGGCGGGAGGCTACCCGGGAGTCGGACGGTGCGGCTCCCAGTGCGGGGAGGGCCGCGCCTGGAGCGGGGGCCGCGGGAGACATCGGGCGGCCCCCTGGAACCGGAGAGGACGCGGGATTGCAGCCCGGGAGGGCATCTCCTACACCCATGGCGGGGACTGG